GAGTTTCACCTGATTTTTCCACATCAATCACTGTCGACCTCCAGCTTGGTGTTTCCCATGAATCCGTTTTCTGAAAGAGAGCATTGTTGATACTACAAACAATATGTTAGGCAATTTGGAGTCTGAGAACGAAGCCTGACCTACGTTTGTAAAGCGATTCGGCACCTCTCGCACGACTTACCCGTGCACACATTGCGCGGGAGCTAAGCGCCTCAGCGCCAGATCATCTCACCGGTGTTCTTTACATCAAGAAATTTCAAAAAAACGAGCAAAGATCACAAATCGGACTAAACAAACGATATATTGTCCGCAAAAGTTGAATATGCGATAAAACTGAATGAACCAATAAATAGAGCTATTATTATTCATAGAAACAATAACAATAAAAACCATATGATATTAAGTTCAATTCTAAAAATGAAAAAGAAACACTATGTCAATTAAAAGAAAAACGCCCATATCACAAAAATAAGCGTTATAGACACACAGGAAAAAAAAAAAAAACAAAAAAAAAAAAAAAAGGTCGCGATATGAACCGTCTATAATATATTGACCGTTAAAAAAATAGAACTATACAATAGGAAGAACAAAGTAGCAACCGAAACGAAAAATGGGCCTTCACTACTTGATCTCCCTATGGGTGAGAAGACGGCGTCCAAAAAGACAGAATATGGGAGACCCGCTCAATAAGAAAAGTGAGGAAGTGAAAAAAAAAAAAAAAAAAAAAAAAAAAACTAAGAGACAAAAGAACTGACCATGCACTCGCGTTGGCTAAGGAGAAGATGCTACCCTTCTATTCAGCGTCTCAAACCTCTACAATAAACAATATATCCTACCATAGTGAGATATAAAAATAGACATCAAGCATGGTGAAACCGCCATGACAGGTAGCTACCTGTCAAAGTGCTCTATTTTCTGCAAGAATGTTTGCTGAACCCAAAGAAGTCGAGAGATTTCAATTATTTGATTTATTTTATTATAATTCAACGCGCAGCGGACAACGCAAACTAAAAGAAAAACTAGCAAATAGAAACAACTAAAAAACAGAGATTAAGAAAGCAAAAGAGGCGGAAAAAAAATAATAGAACAAAACTATAAAACACGGCATTATCAAAATCAGTTCCGCCAGCACTCTCTTACCCTATGATAGCATATTGCCCTTCCTGTATTCAAGGTAGCATCAGACGACTGAGAGAGAATGAGCACAAGCTGATTACCGACTACGAGGAACAAGAAAACGTCTCGGAACCCTGCGGTGCGCGGTAGTCAGTCAGTTATGTGTATCGGAGTTCCCTAAGAAGACGAGTAGGTAGCTCGGCCTTCATCGCATGAGACCACAACACCATATCCACCGACCACACATCTCAACGTTGCCACGCCGTAGAATAATTTTGCACTGGAATAAGAGTGGGTCCATAGCATTCATCAATTTCTAGCTATTTTAGGCATACATACTGTGGTCTCAGGGCATCTGTTCAATCATAGCCCTTGGCTTGGTTCAAGCGTGATGTGAGTGATGCACTGGAAGATCTCAAAATGTGAAACACTATCGCAGTATTCCTTTTTCCTTTACCTCCTTCAAGGCTCAGGCCGAAGAAGACCAAATGAATAGATGCTTTCCCAGCTCGCCTTGCCACCTTATTGTTGACAGAAAGCCGGTTGGAAACAAATTCGTGGCAGAATTCGTGACTCGAAGGGGCATGCGTGCGATTAGGCAGACTGTCAGTACTTGCGATCCGCGCGCCTGCTGGTGAGAGCAACGCGACCGCGTACGCTAGCGAAGTCGGACATCCCGGCCTTCTCCTCGACACCATACCTCTGTCGAGGAAGAATAAGGAACTGGTGAAGCAAGCGACTCGTGAGGATCGGCAGTCACTCTATTCTCGCACGTATCCTGACGAATCAGAAAAGCCATTACCCACTCGTTGGAGATTTTCAACTAGAAATAAACGGTGAAATGATGTCGCTTCACACACCAGTACTATTCAGTTAGATATCCATTTAATAATGCCAACCTGCGCAGATGTCCGGACAATAATGCAGAATAAGTATTTCGGCCACATTACAGAAATGAACGAGAACGTATGCAGGACGAGAAACACGGTATCAAAGTTTGATAAGTGACCAAGTCCAGTGTTCGATCGCATATATCGATAGAGACCTACAATAACAACGACAAGATCATCATTTGTTGCGTGCTGTTTGTGCATCCGTTTTCTCGGAACGCTACAAGACTCAACGGCGCTGTTCCTAGAGTGGCCAGCAAGCATTGTACGCGCTACTAAAAATACAAATATAAGCAATAAAAAATAAAAAAAATAGTGCACGGCGAAGAAAAGTTAGTTTCCCAATCCATATGCGCGCGTAGCAGGGCCAAAACTGCCTGATAAGTTAACCACCCATTGAATGGCTACTATGAATAATGTCAGAATTTGAAGAGGTTGGCCCCCGTAGTGAGAAGCTGGTGAGCGCACTTCCCTGACAAGTTGAGGGCAAATGAGGAATTCTGGACGAAAGAAGAGTTGTCGCGGAAAACTGAAATTCAATGACGCAAGAACCAAATTGACGCAAGCGATTTGCCAAAGGCTGAAAGGCATGAGTCAAGGATACACTCACTATGGACTCACCCCGCTTCACCATTAACCCCATCTGTAAGACTACTTAAACCATTAACCCATCTGTAGGTCTACTTTTATTCGATTCTGCTGATGGGCTTTTTTGGCTCCATCGTTAGCTTTTAGCAGTCAGTAGTGGCGCCGCCAGACAACAGCACCACACCAACGCTTCTTGAAAGACCGCGGTAAAGTGGACTATAGACCCCTGTGAGTTAACGTCTTCCAGTCTAAACATCGAGTGACGAAGACATTTGTCGGTTGCGGAAACACAGCGGCAGAGAGGTAGTCATTGCTGCGTTCTATCGACCTTTTGACTCCCAGCAGAGGTGTTGCTCAGAGGCCAGTTGCAGCGAGGAACAGGATGAGATACGACAAAGACGCTACGCAGCTAAGCTGCTGTGGCGATAACTCAAGCGTTGTATAGGGTACACTTTAACCCGAGCCTAAATACGTCAATACACGATATCGCGTGCGACCGTCTTTGCGCGTACTGACACGTCATCTTCCTTCGCCGGCGCCGACATTGGACGCCCTCTCGGAGGCACCCACGCAGAGACGAGTGAGTCGACAGAAAATTTATGAGACGTATCTGTGTCGGATCGGATATTCAACGCTTATCGGAATCGCCAACTTCCTACGCTACTTTCCTTGCCAACTTTCTGAAGATCAAGAACCTAGGTAATCAAGTTAAAGAGATGGACCCCTGTAAGAATCTTCTTTTCAGATCTTTCAGCGAGTGGATACAGGAATCCTCCCCCCCCCCCGCTGTTCATCTTGGTAACGACGTTCATAAATCTACAGTACTTAAAAACATTTGTTAGGAAGCAGCACACATGTAAGGGCTATTGCCAGCAACTAAAATGATGAAAAGTTGATAGCACTTGCAAATTACCAAAATGCATATGCAACAAGGAGACGGAGCCGAATTACTGACCATAACAGTAGCGAATATTTTAGATACCACACGCGAATGAACAGAAGCACGCTACAGTAAGCAGAACGGATTCGCACGATCGCCCTCGAGAGGATGTCTAAAAGCCGAAAAATATGGTTTTAGACAAAAATAGACTACAAATACTTGATCATAGTAATGTCGCGCTAAATGGAATCTAGCAGCAAATCTATGTGAAGGTACCAAGAGAGTAGCCAAATCGAATGAAAAGTGATTCATCAGACAGAGTTAAATATTTAACTAATTAGAAAATTGGGAAAAATAAAACTCGTCCAAAATTGCGCACAAATAATATACAATGTTCTTTGGGCGCTATCGCACCATAGCCGCGATTCTTATAGATTTTGTTTTAGGACAGTCATAAGACAGGAGCTCCGGAGAAACGGAATCGCTAATACACCGTGGCGTTTATCGCCCATGTTTTAGCCTTCTTCATCAAAAAGAGACGTTTAATGCGGTATCAAGTGCACTGCTACCACAATGTCCCTGTATCCTGCGATAGCGACGGTTTTTGTTTATTTATTTATTTACTCATCCCTTGATTAATATAAGGATTTAGGTATTTAAGTTCACATCATTTATGAACGAAAAACTATCAAAAGAATACAAAATAGGTCGAAAAGATAGTTATCAGTGGCTTGAAAAGTGATGTAGACGTACCTGTATGAGACTCGATAATTTGGAACTCCCAAAATCGCACGAAGTTGTAAGCAACTGAGAAGACCACGATGAGAAGTACGGTCAACAACGCTCGTGCTCTGAAAAAAATTGTTTTGGGTGAAAGGCTCAAATATTCAGACGGTAGATTGCGATGCAGCCCTGTATTACCATCTATAGAGGACGCGGGAATATTCTACCTGCACTCAGAATCAAAATTGGATTTAAATACGTATATCAACCACACAGAAATCTGGAGAGGAAGCTGATAAACGAAACAATGGTTTTTCCTCTCCCAAACGAGAAAAATACGAAGTAGAATGGGATCTCAGAGAGAGGAGCTTCGCTTATTTGGCTGAGCCTTAGCCGCGCTATCGCGGACTTCGATTTGAAACATCACATATCGGCAAAAACCGTTCGCAAAAAAATCTGATCAGGAAGGGCTCTCTCAACAGGTTTCAAGCGACTTCCCTTGGTTCTTTCTTTTCCTCTGCACCATTTGACACCTGAACTTTCTCTTCTGACAGCAAACAATTTGTCGAGTCATGTGCCTTTAAGTCTTACTGGTAGATATCTTCAGGTATGTGCCGTCAAGTTACTATTTTTGTCTTGGCTAAGATAGGCTAGATAGAAATGTTTCGATGTCTATGTGTCCAGTGATGATGTTCTCATTCAGCAGAACCATATTTGGGAGATAGAATAAGGGTCGATCTTAGAGTAGCCCGGAAGAAGGGATGAAGTCTGCAACTTTGAACCTATGTTCTCGCAAAAACAACTCACCGTGTACAGTAGCTGCTGACTTCGAAAGGATGACACACAGCCAAATATCGATCGACAGTAATCGATACAAGCAGCCAGACACTCATCGATTGAAACATGACAGTGACCGGATACGCATAGAACATGAGCAGGGCGATCGTCCTCTCGGAAACTAAACGCTATTTTTGAATGCTGCTCAGTTGGACGTACTGCCAATCCAGGCTTGTCAGTACTGCACGTTCAGGACCGATCTCTTACCTGGCAAGAAGAACTGCAAATGGTTGCTGCTAAAAACTGGTATTGACAGCACACATACTGAGAGATCTGTGGCCGACAGCGCTGATAGTAGAATATTGATCGATCTGAAAATTACCATGTTCAATGTTTCGTTTATATCATATCAGTTATCCTGTTAACGATTGATTTAGCTCGATTGGGGCATGACTCGTCGTACTTTTATGAACAGGTCAATTGAGGCTTCAATTTAGGATTACGGAATTGGTTTATCAGGAAATGCACGCACAAAGTGAAATGGGTGGAATAGCATGCCTGATTCATCTCAGAGTTTAAAAGTCTGTAGGTGAAAGAATTGTGGTGGTGGTTCGGGTAAAACGTTCAAACATATTAGTGGAATGGTGGGTCACAGAAAAATTGAAATAGAATGGGTCAAAGGCATGGCGCATCTTACAGACCCGGATAAAGACCTAGCACTTGGGGACCTATGCCTTTTTGATAATAGCGAAACCACAAAATGTTATTGCTTCCAGCCTTTCTATTGGACATCGCCATTGCAGCGTGCACTTCCGCCCAAAACTGCAACTGGTTGTGATTTGGCCCCATATGTACACAGACTTGAAGGGCTGAGAGCCTGTGAGTGTTAGCTCTTTCTTCCTCCCAGGTGAGTCAGGACCTAACAGTTGACAGCTGAAGGAGAGAGGCCTGCTGGGCAGAATTTGATGAGACAGGCCTGTCGCTGAGCCATTCGTAAATCTCCTAGTGGGATCTTAAACGGACACTTGTCGTCGCACTCTTGTCCGGCCCCTTATGTCAGTAAGGCCGATGTCATAGTTTGCGAATCGAGCGATTCGCTAGCGAATCGCTCGATCCGAGCGTTGCGCCAGCGAATCGAACGTTGCACCAGCGAATCGAACTTTGCGCCAGCGAGTCGAACGATGTACCAGCGAGTCGAACTAGGTACCAGCGACTCAATAGTGGCGGGACCCAACGTTTAAAGGAAGCCGCCACTTTCAAACAGTGTCACGTGACAGTGGACGCTGTTTGAAAGTGGCGGGACTTTGCAGTGGACACTGTTTGAAAGTGGGCTTCCTTTAAACGTTGGGTCCCGCCACTATTGAGTCGCTGGTACCTAGTTCGACTCGCTGGTACATCGTTCGACTCGCTGGCGCAAAGTTCGATTCGCTGGTGCAACGTTCGATTCGCTGGCGCAACGCTCGGATCCAGCGATTCGCTAGCGAATCGCTCGATTCGCAAACTATGACATCGGCCTAAGCAGTGAGACGCATTCAGCAACGACGGTATGGCGTTTGCGGTGAGGGCAGGGTTAATCTGGGAGCAGTCTATTCTTCTCTTTATTCACGTCGGCGCTCACGCTCTGGAGGGGAACGCGGCATTCAAACGGGCGGCAAATAGGTGAGTGCGAATCAGGATCGGCCAGCAAAGGGATCAAGACGCTAGAGCGAACATAGACGGGTAATTACGCTCTCACGGATCCGTTATCACTCGCTTCGGGCTAATCGCCGGAGCACAGTTTATTGGCTTCATTCATTGTTGATGGCCCCCACCCAACATCCCGCACGCAACGGGCATGAGCCCCCATGCTGTATTAAGTTTTTTTTCGTCTACCAAGAAACCTTCGTACGCATTTACTATGACATTTACTATTTGAACAGTACCTTTTGCGGAAAGCTGGCCTCGTGTAGATGTATAGGGAGAGTGAATTGCCCACGACCCCGAACAGACACAACACGATCATCACAGCGCCACAGATCTGTGACAGTAGCACCAGCAGTTCAGGCGGTGCGGCATCCATGATCTGCAAAAAACGGTATACGACTGAAAGGTGCACGTGCACTGATTGTCCCGAAAACGCGAAGCGACCCTGATGTCGGGAAAACGCAATTGGCGAAATGCTGTGGTAGATATGAAATTGAGTAGAAAGCCCAAACACGATCGACATATGGAGAATTCTTCCACCAAGTCGGAAAGGATGGGGTTTTTAGAACCCCACGTTACGTCCATGGACTACGTTGTGGAGGCACTCAATTTAAACTATTATGAGCATAAATGTTCTAGGTGCTTCTGGATCGCAAATACAACCAGTGACTGGGAGAAGGATCTGGGAAATCAAATATGAGCCAGTAGAAATCCTCTGAAATCGCAAGTCTATGCGAAATGGAAGCAGACATTGCCGGTCCGTTCTGGATAGAATGTAGGGAATAGGCCCGCCCAGGCGACGAAAATGGGCCTATCATATAATTTTCTATGAAGATTGCCACGACCCATTTTAATCTGGCTTGAATTCAGTTGTCGGCAGCTGACTTCTTTTCCTCGGTCACACGTCAGGGTAATAGAATGGCGCATGGATCTCTCAAGACAAGCGAGCAAGCAAATCAACAACGTCGGCTCTCCTGTCCACCGTCCCACTATGGCACAGGGAAGTGGACAAGGGAAACTACGTCTCAGTTTGCTATATAGATTACGCAAAAGCGTTTGACTCAATCTGTATCAATCTGCTTCTGAGGAAGCTCAGTGCGTATGGAGTCAGGGGTCGGTTCCTCGAATTTCTACGATCATTCCTCAGCAACAGGGTTCAATCTGTGGTAATAAACAACAGCTACTCAACCCCTTACCTCACACCGAGTGGAGTCCCCCAGGGCACGTGCTTGGGACCTCTAATGTTTATTATATTTGTCAATGATTTGAATAATTGTCTTCCTTCTGGTGCTTTTTGTAGTATGTATGCAGACGATTCAAAGATATATACTATCAATGACTGCCATGCGCTTCAAGATGCAATAAACGTCGTAGAGACCTGGTCTAAAACGTGGTCTATGGACATTTCCTTGCAGAAAACGACTGTTATGGGCTTCGGAAAAACTCATCCTGACTTCACATTCACACTTGCTGGTGTCCCGTTAGCACGAGTGCACCAGATCCGGGACTTGGGCATCACCTACAACGATAAGTTCGATTTCGATAGCTACATCAGAGACAGAACTCAGGCTGCATACTCAATCTCAAATTACATATATAGAGCTTTCAAAATTCGCGAACCATCCTATCTGTTTCGACTGTTCACCCTTTATGTCAGACCCTTACTAGAATACTGCACACCACTCTGGTCGCCTTACAAAAGAGGGTTAATTGAGGAGATAGAAAAGGTACAGAAAAGCTTTACTTATCGATGTTTCATGCGCAAGGGGGTTACAACTCTCTCCTATGGGGAGAGGCTTCGTATCCTTGGTTCCGAAACTCTAGAGTTTCGAAGGAAGGTGAGTGACTTCTCCCTTATGTACAAATTAACTACTGATGAAATTGATCTAGAGTTGTATGATCTCTTCGATAAGCCACCCAACGTTGGTACTAGAGGGCATGCCTATAGAGTGCGTCCTGAGAAGCCTAATTCTAGTGCTTATGCCGGATCATTCTTGGTCAGAGTTGTTCCACTTTGGAATAGTTTGAAACCTGAATTGTTTAGGTGGAGGCGGTCACATACATTCCAGATTCATGTAGCTGACATTATCAAGGAACAGGAACGCTGTTAAACCGAACCTGGCTGTCCAATCGCCAAGTGCCAGAGCTAGTCCGCAGTGAGGGTGTGCAATCAATATGGTGTTCTTTATCGACGCTAATGGTTTCCCGCAACACATGGATCGGAGGACTCCACAATGAATTGTCTTGCGGTTTGGAACAATATATAACATTGACAGTAATGCAACGCCTGCATTTCAGAGTACACAATCACCATCACATTGGCTCCCGTAAGGTGACTCTGAGTTCACTGTTATCCTTGAGCATTCGAGATATTTCTCTCTTTTTCTTCGACCTTGTAATGTAGATAGCTAACGACATAGAAGACAGATGCTCTAGTAAACGTTCCGTATTGTTCCGCTCTCGGCATTGATACATGATAAGTTCCCTGCCCCTCTCTGCCCCTGACGCCGCTGCAGTCATCATGTGGACCGCGGAGGGTTGGCGGACCTACTAAGTTGGTATCCGGAGTCACATCTCAGCTAACGGCTTGCAGTGTTGGCCGGCCACTGCCCTTCCCTCCGCAAAGTACCACCGTCCCCATCTCCCTCCCACCTCCATGACCGTTGAAATAGGTCCGAATTACATATTTCTTCAGCCATTATATCTCTGTGCCTTATATTCCTATCCTATAAGTTTAATTCGTAACATGTAAATTCTATCATTTATCGTCCATATATTTTATTTTATTTTATCAAATTTTCTATTGCTTATACTATTGTCATTCTGTACTTCAATAATTACATATGTATTCCTGTACTCCAATTGTAAACAATAGCCGAATAATAATAAATAAATAAACTAAAAGCGGTTTTTAGCATGACATAGGGCATACCCAGGAAGCCACGACCGGCCTGATTAATTTTCCTGAATCGGCTCTAATCATCAGAGCGGGTCAACAGTCACTTAAAACCAGTTTTTCAATCAAAGCTATTTGATAAGGTGCCTGACGTCTAATCATGAATTTGAGTGAGGAATTGACTAGGGACCCCTTTTCTGGTATTCAGAGAGCCGTTCAGGAAAAATGAACCATAGCTTCTGTGGTCCCATATGTGCCCTTATATCATGCAAGAAAATCTTTTCAAAAAGCTTGGCAAACCACTCTTGATCTCACCACGTGCAACGGGTAGGATCAAAATTCTGGTGGCTCCATTGTAGCCAACCAGACTTCTCCTCCGGGGTCGTTAATATGATACCATGGCTTGTCCGGGAGGATAAGAAAACAGCTGAACTGAACTGTACATAGCCTGGTTTCGAAAGTCATTGAGTAAGGCCACCTCAGCATCAAACGCAGCTTTTTTTTTTGCTACTAAGAATGTATAAATGGAAGTAAAATGCGTGCCACATCCCAAAATGGAACTGATCAACGGCAAAAGCTTTATTCTTTACACCAGCTCCTTTTAAGGCATAAAGGAAGTATGGGAAACATTATTAACGATTATTAAGGATTGATTTAACCCCCACATATAACTAACAAAAGTCTTTTACTTCCCTCTAAATGATGGCAGCGTGGCGTATGTAAGTGGTGTAGTGACAAGTGGCCACCACGTCTCCCCCTCGAAAATCAGATTCGGACCAGCTCAGCCCAGCTAACTAGATTCTCCACACCACTAGGGCCTTTTCTACCGTATCAGATCAGTCTGGAAGCACTGATTTGTGAACAGCCGAACTCCGAAAGCCAGTGTGCAGGGAAGCCACTGACAGTTGACTCTGGGTTTAAGTAAAATACGTGGCGCATCCCAAGAAGTGTTGATAAAAACCGAATGCTTCGATTTATAAAGTAGGAGGGAAATAATCAAACTCTCAGAAGGGAAGAAGGGGAGTTTGTGCAAGGATCGAAGATGATAAACGAAAGCTTCTCGAAATTCTCGGAATTATGTTCGTGGAGATGCTTTCTTCGTAAGACTCAGAAATGGTATAAAAACGCTCATCACAGCCCTATAACAAAGCTATTCACTAGGGAAAGCACTAAATAGGAATTCTACGAAAAAAGAAAGTGGAGAGCACCAAGAACCATCGAGAGATTATTTTGCAGAAAGGAAAAAGAAAGAAATGAGGAAAGGATGGAACGAATCGATGAAGTGACCAGTTTTCTAGTATGTGCACTGTGCTCGACTATGATCCGAAAGGTATCAGCATCTGTGACCACTTTATTACAACGACGTGCGTGAAAAGGCGTTAGAATAATGGGTAGATTACTACTTCAGAGAGGTAGGTAAACGACCGCATTATAAAATCGACCCCAGGTGATTGATATTCGAACGCTCAAGCACAAGTGGGTGACCCCCATTGGAAAGGGAGTGCGGAAACGCGGCACGATGTTTCCAAAGCTACAATTTATGGCTGCACTACAGTAATCGATGCCAAACCTTGATCGAGGGATAAAAGATAGTTGGGTCGTGATTAATGAAAGAATCGGCTAGTATTGGTTTGCTCATGAAATTGTCTCAAAGGCATACCCCTTATTAGTGTGGCCCTTGCACACGAATGCGAGTGTATTGGTGCGAAA